TGATTGTCCTTAAAAAATAAAAATAAATAAAAAAATAAAAAAAGCAGTAAATAGTCTCCTAATAATAGGACAATCGGCTAGTCTTGTTCCTGTACATTTTGAATGGTGGGGTACAAGGCCAAACTGTAGCCAACGATCGCTGCATAGGACAAACCCACTTCGTCAAACAGGTGGACAAAGGAGCCTGCTACCTGGCCAATAGAGGAATGGTATGGATTAATCTCCCTTCCGCTACACCAATCAGTGTATGCTCGCAGCCTAGAAATGTAGGCAGCGTTGGTGGAATCCCTGTTCACCCTGGCCAGGACGTCGGCAGCCCACTCAGATAAGGCTTTCATATGTGCGGGTCTAATGAGAGCCTCTATGTGTGTAAGTGATACCTGCTGGGCTCGTTGGTAGTGCACCGTCTGGTTGGGACGGCAGGTCTGGTAAGCCCTGAAGCACTGCTGGTGTTTTGACTAGCATTTCTGACAGAAGTGGAAACTAGGCCTTGCTTGGCCAATTGGGTGCGACCAATGATAATATGCAGGTGTGCGCCTGTCGAAGTTTGCTTCCTAACCCTGAACTAGCGGGAAGGAAGGAAAGGCATACACAACTAAGTAGGTCTGTGGGGTTAGCAAAGCAACCCTGGCCCAGGCTCCTGGAGTCAGCAGGAGTGTTAGGTACATCGGGAGATTGGTGTTCCGGGGTGCGGCAAACCGGTCTAACGTTGGACCGTCCCACAGCTGAAACAGCCTGGAGGCTACCCACTGGGGTATCAGCCACTACGTGTTCTGGAGACGAGGCCGCACTGAATGGGCGTTGCCAGACTGTTCCTCACCCCTGGAAGGTGGTGTGCGGTTAGCTCCACATTGTATTCCAGACACCAAAGGAGGAATTGCTCCACTCGGACTGACAACGACAGGGAATGCGTCCCCCTCCCCCTTGAAGGAGACCACCGCTGCATTGTCTGTGCAGAGCAGGACTCTGTGGTCTCGAACTATGGGTAGAAAGCATGTTAGTGCTAAGTACACTGCTCTCTGTTCGAGTCGATTGATATGGTAGTCCCGAAACTAATCCGGGAGCCATATCCTTTGGCTTGTTCGTCCAATAGATGGCTCCCCAACCGGGGGGGGCATCTGTTACCAGAGTCATACATGCCGCAAGCCGGTCCAAGGGGGCCCCCCTGTCCTGAGGTTGGCCAGTGACGACCACCAGGGCAGGGCTTCCTTCACTTGGTCCGAGATCGAAACCCACCTATCTAGTTCCCATAGGAGAGCTCGGCGTTATAACAAGTGTTATACCAGGCGGCTGCTTAGTGCGGCCTGGGGACTGACCCTTCGAACCGAGGTAATCATTCCGATGATCCACATTAGTTCTTGGAGGGAAACTGAGGGAACACTGACTAGGCATTCGGCTAGGCTGCTTAGCGCTAAGCAACACGCTTGAAATAGCTAAGCCAAGCTTACCTCTATGTCAAAACTCCATGCCCAGGGACACCAACTGCACATTGGGTCGGGGTGGGACTTGTCGATTTACTAACGAGCCCAACTGGTGAAGTAAATCCTATCTTAGCCTGACGCGTTTGGCTATTAACACCTTGTCTGGATTGTTGGTAACCAGTAACCAGTAGTCTGGGTACAGAGTGAGGTGTACTGACATCTGGTGAAGCAGCAGCACTACCTGTTTCATCACTCTGGTGAACACTTAGGGTGCTGTGCCTAACCCGAACGGGGGGGCACCCGAAATTCGAATACTTGGCCCAGCTGGGCAATTCGAAGGAGATGGCAACTCGCTGGGTTCAACGGTATGTGCAGGTAGGCCCGCTTATATCTAGTTGGGCTTGCCAGTCGAAATGATGGATGGACAGAAGAACCCTGAATGGTGTCTCCATGTGGAACCGATCAAGGAGCATGTACTGATTCAGTCTGCCTAGGTCCAGAACTGGACGCCCGCCATTTGTAGATTTGGTACTATGAACACATTTTGGTAGAAGCCTGGACTTAGTTCCAGCTGATGTACCCTGTGTATGGCACCTTCTCCCAGCAAACTGCTACTTCCTGTTTGATTGCTTCCGCCTTGCGGGAGTCCCCTGGCAGTGCCCAACATGGGAGACACTGATGGGGGAAATGGAGATTTCAGCGGTATCCCATAACAGGATGTTACCACCTGGAAAGGTTCAGGGATCGGTCACCCGCTGTCTCGAAACTGGACTACACCAGCACAATCTGTGTACGACAGGGATATGTGGGCATGGGTTTGGCAGTTGCAAGGGGGCGCTCTCTTCTCCCATGAGGTAAGTTCCCCAAGGCCTGAAGTAGTCACTAAGTTGTGACCTGGCCACTCGCCGAACACATGCCTGTCCCCCTGGTTGCAGAGGTGAGCGTAAAACACGCTTCACACGCTGCCGGGTTAGACATCCGCCCAGGGTGGGTGAGGAGCCACCACCTGGATCTTTCCTCCCCCGACTCAGCTTGTTGGGGAAAACACCTGCGTCTAAGGCCAAGTCTCGTAGCACAGTAGTGGCCCCGGCCAAGAGAGCCAGGTGACACTAGGGGGTGTCGCACGTAGATGTGCGATGGCCCACCAGTAAAAGTGTTGTCTGGTCTAGGAGGCTGGTGCGTTCTGCCTCCGAGGTC